TAAATGGGATGGAAAGGGGAGTGAGTAGTAACCACTAGTGAGAAAAGAAAGTAGATTCCAGAAGTTCATAATAAAGTACCACCAAAGTCCATTTCTGTTGCAATGGAAATTCAATATACTCATAGCCACTTCTTGTGCAGTATATGCAACAGTGGTAGAAGTTTCCGTCTTGATTCGATTTTCTTCAATACCAGATGTTGTCCCATCTATATCAAGTGATTGTGCATACAGAAATTTTCCTTTTTTGGTTTAAAAGAAATAGTTAAAGACTCAACTAATCATTCCACTTAGGGTCAGAGCAGAACAGATCAGTTGTGGCCTTGGTAGCAGGTCAGCAAGACAGAACAGATCAGTTGTGGCCTTGATCAGCAAGACAGAGCAGATCATCAATACACGGCCATACCAGCTTCATCTGGGTCTCAGCCAGAAGCAGTACTAACAGATTCTACCCATACTGGCAGCCTAGCAGCAACCTCACCTTAGCAAAACTGGCAGCCCAACCCAGAAACTTGCAGCCAGATTTTACCCAGCAGTCCACCAGCCCTTCACCATCAGACCAACAGATTCAATCACTGGAGAAGACTTAATCCACATTGCTACTCTCACCTTCACAATATCACACAACTCGTCCGAATTCGGTTGGATGCCTTGGAACACACTCTCATTTCTGTGTTTCCAGATGGACCAGAGAATGGCTAGAGGAATAACTGTCCAAATTTTCTTTTCCAACTTTTTAATTCTACACCCAAACCACCACTGTAGCACTCCATTGACAGAGCCAGGAATAACCCACTGAAGACCCCACAATTTTACAATGTTTGACCAAAGCCTCCAAACAAAAGGGCAAGAAAGAAGAATATGTTCCACTGTTTCAACCTCACTTTGACAAAACACACATACAATATTCGCATTCCCGTCAAGGATCCCGGGTCAGTTGTCACAAGAACAATTCAAACTCGAAACATTCATAAACTTTATTAACCAATCATCAAATTTTCAATGTAAGTAGAAGAAAGTCATTGGTTCTTATTCTCATGGTATCAATGAGTTCTAAGTAGTCATTACTCTTGGACTATGATAGACTAATCTTAATTATTGATATGACCGCGGTAATGTTCTTAAACATTCTTAGAACTTAGAAAACTTTGTTTTCCCACTTCAAAATAGATAGGTCATGGCAAACGGTAAATGGAAGTGTTCTACGATGGAGGATTGCACTTGGAGGAGGTCTGTAGCGGAGGTCTTCGTACAAATGAAGGTCAACTTGACCCATCCCGCATTTTCCATCACAAAAGTATAAAATGTGTTACAATTTGGACCAAAGTGAAAATAATATAATATTTTGGTCATTTTTTTACAAATGTAGGTCAACTTGACCCATGCCGCATTTTCCGTAACAAAAGTATAACATCTCTTACAATTTGGACCAAAGTGAAAAGAATATAATAGCTTGAAGTCCAAAGTGAGAAAGTATTCATAGGTAAGCAAGGTGAAGGTGTAATTTACCATTTTACAAAATGTAAACCATGCCTTAATCTATGAAGAAATTGTTGATGTAATTAATATCATAATAATTAATTTTTATTATTAGAAAATATGCTAACATAATTTAATATGAAGATTTAATAATTTTAATAAAGGTAAAAAAAGAAATATCATTTTGCCTTTCATACTATCACTAAAAATTGAGTTAACCTCTATTAATTTAGTAAAATTAATTTTACACTTAGTTTATTTGATTTTGGATTAATTTTACCTCCGCTGTTAACTTCTGTTTGTAATCCAATGAAAGTTACTGACATGGAAATGACATTTGAAATTTCATTTTACCATCCAAACTATCTATAAAATATTAATTAGACCTCGAAACTTCATTTTATTCAGAGAACTAATTGATATTTTGGGTGCCACATGAGCAGCTTTTATTTTATTATAGACTGTAATTGATGGTGGAGTAATATTGATGCAAAATCGAATAGTTTAGACATAAAGTAGATATTATGAAGATAATAATGGTTGGATTGTTTTTTGAGTTATAGTTTCAGATAAAAATGATATTTTGTAAAAGTGAAATTTCAATAAAAAAAAATTGTAAAAAAAATAGTCCGTGGAAAATAGAAAATAAGAAAATATTACTAAATTTGCATAATTATTTGACCTCACCAAATTTAAAAAGGTGGATTACCTTGACCCCCCATAATTTAGATTTGAGGGTACTGTTTGGGGCTGTGAGGCCCATCACGGGTTGTAAAATTGAATCCAAACCATTAATTTTGTTGCGTCTTTTGTGTATTTCATTAACACAAAAAAAAATAGAGCAATCCGTGGTGGTCACCAAAAAATGTACAAAATTGGTGTTTTTAAAATTAAATCATCACTTTTTGTAATGACAAATGCGATAATTTGAAAAGATTATGATCAATTTAGTGACCTAAATTTTTTTTTGTAAATAAAATACTAAAATACATAAAAAAAATAAATAAAGGGTTCTGATTATCGAAATGGGATCAGTGGTTGCCCCCAAAAGGTCCAAACAATACGGTCCAGTCCAGATTCTGGACTGGAGCCACTCTACCTCCATTAAAATAGTCATATTTTGTTTCCAAAAAAATAATTTAAGACTTCTTAAAACTCAACACAATCTGTGCGTGTTTCTAAAAAAAACAAATTAAAACTTCCTATGAAATCAAAACATGCTTAATTTGGCCACCCAAAAACTCCCACAGAAAGGCTTATTTTTAGGTTTTGGCATATGAGTCTTCTTCCTCACGTTGCTGGTCTCAGATTCCCATACCCAGCCAGTCTGATATTGTCTTTGTATCAGCCACTGTTTGATCCCGCAATAGAGCTGCTGCTGCTGCTGCTGCCACCACAACTATTAGCCAACACCTTCATGCTGTGGAGACCTACGGTATGTTTCTTTTTATTTTTGATATTGTTTGAGTCTAGGGTTTCATGTTTTTTTTGGAGACTTAGTTGTTTTTGATGAGTTAAATATGATGCAGTACTCATGTTTTTGTTCATATTGCATATACAGTACCCATTCGAATAAGAAAATTTTGAACTTCAAAATCTTCTACTATCCCTTTCTTACTTTTCTCAATAATAGGTAGGTGAGAGTTTTAAATTTCTTTGGCATTGAAAAGTGAGGAATTTCAGATTGTGCAGTAAAAAAAACAGGGGAAAACAGAGATAAATGAAAAAAAAAATTCAACACAAAAGATAGGGGAAAACAGAGGAAACAAAGTAAGCCTAATTTCTGCTAGGATAGTCATTGATTATAGTCTTACCCCATATTGTCAAATCTATCACAATATAACTACAAACTCTCAACCAAAGACATAGTGAAACCACAAAAAATTTTAAAAAAGTACGAACGGAGAGACTAGTTTATAGCGCAACAAAACCAGAAATTGAGACCTCATTGTCGCTGGAATAGTTATTTTCAAAATTTTATTCATGATAGTCGTTAATTTGTAAAATCCTTGAATTGGAAGAGAATGATTTGGAGTTAAAAAATGAGAGCAATAGAGGTCCTCATTAAGCTACATATACCCATCCGAGACTCAAAACAACTCAGCCGCAGCAGTCCCCTAAGCTACCCACAACAATCCCCTAAACCACATATATTTGGTATCAACTAGCAACAGCAAAATGGCCCAAAATAGAGAAGAACAACAGCAGCATCTAGCCACAGCAACTTGAAGCAGCAGCAACACCACCTGTACTTTAAACATAAATTGACTTGATTTGCAGCAAGTTGCAGATCCTGGACTGAATAAGAACACCCCTTCAAGATGAGCATTGATCCAAAATGCCACTCTCACCATAATCAACTCACCGAAGTCAGCGAGGCAAAAAGGGTATCCACTGCGTCCCTCGTTGGTCGCCATGTGATGATGTAAATAGTCCAATCTTTAACAAATTTTTCTTTTTTTGTTATTTTTTCTGGGTGTCCAATTGTACCATGATGAATTTGTTATACCTAACAAACAAAGAAAGTGATTCCAACTTCCAGAAATTTATAAAATGGGACCTATTTAAGCTTCCAAACAATTTGTAAAATGGGACTTTACAGATTAACAAAGAAGTCATGGGAACAAGTTAATGCCATGGGATTTTCACTAATTTTCCCTTAAAAAATGGAGAGGGATGGAAAAGATCACTTTGAAGATGCATTCCAAAATGTTGTACTTGGAGAATGGAATTTAAAATCCTATTCTTTTCTCTCTCTTTCCTCCTCATCCTTCTCTTTCCCCTTTTGAGATGAAATAGAAAATAGAATTTTGGCATTTGGTGCCACAGAACATGACGCGCTACATTTTAACTCTCAGTGTGCTTGTACTTGGATTTTCTGTTATTAAGTCATCAGTCTGCTACATTTTAAGGACTAGATGTTCTTCAATACATGAAATTAGAGAAAACATGAGACGGTAGTAACAGTCCCCATCAAGTCATCAGCTACAACTAGTGTGTGCTTGTATTATTGCGTCAACTAAATACAACTAATCAGTACATTGCTTTTATTGTATTCATAGTATATATCTCTCAAATAAGGAAGGGGTTGTGTTTATTATTATTTGTCTTTTGGTGTGTATACTTTTCTTGCATTTACTAACTTGATTTTGTCTCATATGATTATTTCACCTTTGCTTATGTAGATAATATATAACAATACACAATGAGCGAAGGAAGCAACAAACCTTGCATACACAAACGATTTACACCAGCTTTCTTCTTCTACAAGTATTATTTCTTCACACTAGTCAATGAATTATTTTAATTACATGTTTTATGTTCGGTTTACATATTAGCCCTTATTATACATTTGGTTGAACCTGTAGCAAAGATGAAAACAAAAGCATGCAAGAAGCACAAATAACAGTTACCGACACGGTTTGCACATTGCCTACCTACCACATACTGTTTACATATTTTATATTATCTTTGTCTTTTATGTTCTACTTGCATCACTTATATTTACTTTTGAGGCAATGTAGATGAAGAAGGACATAGGACATGAATGGAGAACCCGGCAAAAGCAAGACAAGGAGTACAAAGAGATGGACATGTGGACTATTGATAAGCAAGCCAAGTTGGAAGGTCCCCTTCCCACAAAACCAAGAAAGGTGAAATACAAAAAGAACAACAATTTATTGTTTTATTATGACATATTTCACACATTGTAATAACATGTTTGTATTTTCATATTTCTCACAGAAATTGATTCACACACTATTATGAAGTTATTTAAAGTGTCTTTCTTAAATTATTCTAATACCCACTATATTCTTCCTCAGTGGCATTTCCAAACACGAATTGCCTTGAGATCAATTGTTAAAATAATAAGAAGATTGAGCATGGAACAACGTGAAGCAGTTACTAGTAGTGGGTTAGGAGGGCTCTTGAATCTCAGATGTACAAAGCTTGATCATGACCTCTGCGAATGGTTGGTTCAGAAATTTGATCCCAAAACTTGTTCGTTGAATGTTCATGGGCGCCGACTCCTCCTTACTGAACTAGACGTTCACAAGTTATTGGGCATTCTTGCCGAAGGCAAAACAATAGAACTAAAAAAATCTTCACAAGCATTTCCCAAGCTATTTGAAGAACTTGGAGTTGTCCAAGGACCTATCAAACTGAATGCTTTGAGAGAGTATTTGACCAAAACAGAGGGAGCTGGAGAGGAATTTATGAGGATATTTGCCCTATACATGTTAGGTGCCTTCTTATGCCCAACCACAAAGGATGTTGTTAAACAATCATTCATTCACCTCATTCAGAATGTGGATGGCATGAAGGATTATAATTGGTCAAAGTTCACTCTTCAATTCTTTGTTCGTGGTTTATGCAAGTACAATTCGAAAAGTCACTCACAACCAAATGGATGCTTATTTCTTATAATGGTATGCTTCTAACCAATTACAAATTGTTTTGTTAGAAATACTTGACTTCAATGCCTTTTTCATTACATAGTACATGTTAAATTAATACATTTTTGTGATGCAGTTGTTTTACTTTGATCGTGTTGCTCCTAGTGGTTGTGATGCTGGTCGTGCTCGTTCGATCCCCTCCTTGGCTTATTGGGGTGATGCAGAAATAAAGGCGACACTGAAACTATTCCAAAAATCAGGAGGTTACCAGAATGAGGAGGTCATCCTTAGCGTAGCCCTTCTTTTATGTTTGGTTTTTGTTTGTTATTTTTCATGTTGAAATGGAAAACTAAATTGTTTACGATGTGTCTATAAATAGGTTGATGTTAATTTTGTTGTTGACGAGCAAATGCAACCATTTGTACAAAGTGAGGAAATGAAAAATATGAATGATATTCGGATTTCAAAAATTGAGACGACTGTTTGTGACATGAAAAGTGTTTTGGAAGAACTAGTTGTTATTGTTAAAAGTGGAATAACTAATTCTTCCATTCCAAAGGTCATGGAAAAATGTGAGCCACTGCAAATGTCAAAACAACAGGAAGCAGGGCACGGCCATTGTAAATGTGAACCTGGCATAGTTGCACCTGGAGTTGTGGTAGAATCTACAGTTGTACCTATAGTGGAACATGTCAGCCCTATACTCGTGCCAAAACCTAATGTTGTGGTAGCATTAGAGAACATGGAGGAAAATAGAAT